GTGTGGAAGATACCTATGTGCATGGCTTGTGGTCCTGTAAGTTCCTAAAGGATGGTCTCTCTCTCTCTCCTTTGGATCCCCTACACTAGAATTTTAAACTGCAGATTTCAACCCATGGATGGGAAATTTCAAAAGAAAAGAGACTAAAAATTATCAATGCCCATCATATACAATAAGAGTAAGTGTTATTTTACAACATTTGTTTCAGTTATGGGTGCAGAGGTATTAGATGGCAATGTTAAATGCATTGTAGGTCATCGTCTAAAACCCTTAAAAGCCACTGCCCTAGAGTACCTATCCTCTAGTAATGGCTAATATTCTGTGAATGCTTGGAGTAGAACAAATTGATGAGTATGAAACAAACCATGTGTTACAATTTTAAAGGTTCCAATTGGAAAGAATATAAAGTGTAATGAACAATAGTATGGATTCGGGCTTAATGTGAAGCTACAGAAGAGGGCAGAGTAACAGGATCTGAATTAGTTGTTGTTTCCTTTTGATACACTTTTTCTCCAATAACTAAAATGTGTTCATACTTAAGGAAAGTTAAATGCAAGTTTAAATTCATTTTGAAAACTTTTCTTATTCACTGAAACCATCTCATGATTACGAAGTTCTGCATCTTTAAAATACATGGTATAGGTAATTCCACCATGATTCATAAAAGGATTTTTCAGAGACACCATGAAAGCCTTTGTTCAGTGCTTTCTTTGCCCAAGATGCTTCTATGTCTTCTCAATACCCCCACCCCCCACTGTCTGTAAAAATCCCATTCATCTTCCAGAGCTTAGTTCAAAGGCCACCTCTTCTATGGGAGCCTTTTTTGTAAACTCAATTTTTCCCCTTTCCCTCCTCCACCACCCATCCTACTCCCAAACATGGTATCTTTTATAACTGGCCAGTGATGAAAATGTTCTTTTGTATGTAAGTACTTGTCTCATTCTCCTACTCAGCAATATGCACAGCCCATGTTTTACTCATCTTTGTATCTTCTATAGCGACCAGCACAGGGTCTTGTATCTAGAGGTGACCGAGAAAGATTTGTGAAATGGATAAATGAAAGCAGCAGTTAGCCTGCCAAGAGGGATGGTCATTATTTTAAAGGCCCTGGGAATGGCTTGTGTGTCTGGAAGCTGATCCATAGCTGGTGGAACACAGGAGAAAGAGCAGAAGGGAACAGGTGGAGGACAGAGTAGAGGTACATGTTCCTCTGTAATTTGGCCTCTGAAAACCTACAGAATCCCCCAATATCAGAACTCAGCTTTATTGAATGAAGCTACAGAGCTGGGTGGAGAATAAGTACCTTCACCATGTTCCAAGTTCTCCACTCTGGCTTCAATCTAGAAATGGGAAGTAGAATTAGAAGTGGCAAGTTGGGCTGTCCTTCTGAACTTGAAGGTATGGCTGAAAAGAACAGCCATCCAATCATTCACACACAAAAGACCCACCTTGAAGTCTAAGTGTGTAGCTCAGAGTGGGGGGCAACAGTGTGCAAGGAGGCAGAGCAGGTGGTCCTTGAAGGGATAATTAATTATCTCTATTGATCATATGCAACAATTTTGACCTTTTCCCTTCATATTATCCATACAGTCATTTGAGGACACTCTGTGACCACTAGAATAAGCAAGGTCAAGTTCAAAGCCACACTCACAACCAATAAAATGCCAATTGACTTTATTGGAAAACAATAAATTAGAAAAAGTTGTTAGGGCTTTAAAATAAGATTCTCTTTTGCTATCAATCTGTACCTCCTCCTTCCCCCTTCAAAGAAAAGTGTTTTCCTGTGATGAATTAAAAGAAGTATTCAAATGGTCCTTATTTAAAATTTATATGTACTTTCATAAGTTAATTTATAAATAACAGGCATCATTTCCTAAATTACAATATTTTGTTTTCAGATCTTTAATGTTAGATCAATACCATTTATGGTACTGACTTCTCTTTCTCTGAGATTTTAACAGAACCTTAACTTCCAGTCCATCATGCTTTTGCTTTGTAATTAATTTCAGACTCCACTTCATAAACTGTGAGACATCCACAATCTCCTAGAAAATGCACTGGATTTTAAGTTTTAAAAAAAGCTAATTCTTGTTTCAAATATGGACCTCCATTTTTAGATGTATGACCTAGAGCCAGTTACCTAATCTCCCAGATTTTCAATTTCTCCATCTGCAAAATGAGACTATCAACAGTACTTGCTTTGTAAGATTGTTGTGAGGATTAGATGAGCTAAAGCATGAAATGTACCTAGAACAAAATCTGGTAAATAGTAAGTGTTCAATAAATATTAGTTCTTAAGTGTCTGATACCGTTTTTTAAGTCTCAGCAAAGTCATTTAATAGTTTAAATCTGCAATGTCCTCATCTGTAAACTGGGACTTCTATCATTTACCACTATCAGGGTTGCTGAGAGTCAAACAAGGAAATGAGAAATATGAAAATATCAAATACACAAAGAGTATTCAAATATCAGTTATCTTGGATCATTTATAAGCTTGAAATTAAACCATAACTTAAAATTTTAAGCAAATCATAAAATTGAACTTGAAAATACCAGCCAGGGAGGGGAAGGGGAAGTAAAAACAAACGACGTGTTATGTATGTATACCAACTCCCCCCAATGAATGTAATGATTGTGTACTGCAAACATGGACTCATAAAAATAAAAAGTAAATAAAATACCATCCAAAAACTGACCCATAACTGAGAAAATGTCTGACCATGTGAGAAATGCATACTCAAGGATTTTGCTTTATCTTTAACTTATCAGAAACATATAAGCTTCTGTCAGATGTAAATTCTCTAACTGCAAAATGATAAACACTCAAGCTCAACTGTCCTGCTCTGTTGTAATCAGGAAAGTCTACATGTTTTCATGAGCCAAAAATTGATGTATTAAAACCTGACTGCATGAACAGTAGCTTTTCTAACAATGCTTAGTTTAAAAAAAAAAACCTATTAGTTAAATATTGTACTTAATATAAATTTCAAGTCAAATCGACAGACACTTTTTCTGTGACAGTGCTCCAGGTAATTCAGCTGGGAATTAAGAATGCAAAAGGAAATAGAACTCAGGCCCTGAGCTGGAAGAGTCCACAAAATATGCCTGATAAATTCAAAATACTACCTACAGAAGTCATGATGGGGTTCAGTGTGAGTCAGCAAGCAGACAAGTGGCGTTAAAATATGCCAAAGCCGTAAGTTTTTCCCTTGAAGTGTGTAAGACTGCCTTTTAAAAAGCAAAAGTCATTTTTCAAGTACAGCTGCTATCTGGAAACCTATTGAATTTCTGCCAGAAACCAACATTTCTAAATGTAAACCTGTAAAATAATAGGTATCTGTAAATGAAAGGCTGAAATAACCCCCGGAGCAGCAACACAGTAATTAGCAACTTTTATAGAGTAATAACGTGTTTCATATTCTTTCTACACTGGCTCTTTGAAGTTCCCAGTGTAATATATACAAGTTTTATTACATTAGGGCCCATCCTTGTGTGTTTTATAGGTCCCAGCATTGTGCAGAGCAAGCTGTACCTTCTCACCATCGGATCTTTTATAAGAAACTGCTCGATAATGCAGAGCATTGTGTCTACTTTATTTTGTTACACCTGTCTTTAGGAAAATAAAAGTCACTGGAAACCTAAATCACCGAAAACACTCACATAGCTACATATCATCTATATGAGCCATAAATCATAAAGCAGTTTAGCTTTAAAATTGTGCACTGAATATTCATGTGCACACCACTTGGAGTTTTAGACACATGCGAACTCTTTACTGAATTAAAGGAGATGGGGGGCTCAGTTCTACAATAAGCGATTACCGGAGGCAGAACAGAGTGCAGTTAATGTGCTTGTTCCAGCAGATGTTCATCGCCGTAAATATTAAACCTAACACACGTTCCCTTCCTCCAGGAATATGCAGGCAGTAATTTCACCACCTGAATAGGGTCAGTGGCAAACATTTAAGAGATAGTGGGGGTTGGGGGGAAGAGGTAAGGAGAGGAAAGCTGAAGCAGCCAATGGGATTTTTAAGCTACCCGCAACTGGAATTAAACTGCTTCTACCTGCGATGTACCTACAGCAGTCCCTTAATGTGAGACCCCCCAGGAAACAGAACCCAAAGCGCACCCCAGGCTTCGAGCTGTAAGCTTGGCATAAAGGTACACCTGGGGCTCCAGGGATGGGGTG